GGAGAGTGCACAGCAATGGCAAACCAAATCTTGAACATTTCACATACCTTGAAAACCTTATGACAGTTGTCTCAACTCGGATATGATTTTATAGCACATAAGAACAATGAAGTAACTAATTAAACCGTTAATCATTTTTGCTCAGCTTCTCTTCTCTTCCAGCATTTCATTTGCAGGAAACCTTTTGGGAGCGAGATGTAAAGGTAAAGGTAAAGGTAAAGGTTCCCCTTGACAATTTTTGTCCAGTCGTGTTCGACTCTAGGGGGCGGCGCTCATCCCGCTCTTCAAGCCATAGAGCCAGCGTTTGTCCGAAGACAATCTTCCGTGGTCGCATGGCCAGTGCGACTTAGACACGGAACGCTGTTACCTTCCCACCGAGGTGGTCCCTATTTATCTACTTGCATTTGCATGCTTTCGAACCGCTAGGTTGGCGGGAGCGAGATGAGCATCTTACAAAGCGAATCAAGCCATAAAGGCCAATGCCTTGTTCATTGGTGCCAACAGCCTGTCGTGGACCCTGCCATCCTGTACCTAAGGGTGTAGATCTCTTTGCACAAGTGAAAGCCTCATTGCTTTCAATGGGATGATCTTTGACTTGTACTGCTGCAAGCTGGAGATCACACAGTGTTCTGTCTGCAGAGCTGTCACACTCTCTGATCTATCTATATATTCATTTTCTTAATATTATTTATAATAGAAACAGTCCATAGAGGGTCCAAGGCAGCTCACAACTACTAAAACTATAAAACAATCAACAGTTTTAAAATACCATATAAATATCATATTAAAAACAATTAGACATATATCAATATTAAAAACAAGATTAAAAACATTTTTAAAAACATCTAACAATCTGTAAATTAATAAATGAAGCAATCTTATCAAGATTAAAAACAAGATTAAAAACAGTTTTAAAACAGTTTTAAAAACATCCAACAATCTGTAAATTAATCAATGAAGCAATTCTGAGACGCTACTTAAAAGCCTGACAATGGGAGGACAAGCGGGAGGGGGCCAACCGGGCTTCTTGGGCCAGTGCATTCCGCAGTCTGGGGGCAACCACTGAGAAGGCCCCCTCTTGTGTCCTTGCCAAATGAACCTAGGAAGGTGGTGGTATCCAGGGAAGGGCCTCCTAAGAGCTGAAGAGGCTCATATAGAGTGATACGATCCTTTAAATAGCCTGGAGCCAAACCATATAGGGCTTTATAGGCAATAGTCAGCACACTGAATTGGTCCTGGAAACAGACTGGCAGCCAGCGAAGCTGTTGTAATAAGGGAATAACATGCTCCCTGTAACCAGCGCCAGACTAGCAGCTGCATTTTGAACCAGCCAAAGTTTCCAAGCACTCTTCAAAGGCAGCCCCACATAGAGCGTGTTACAGTAGTCCAGATGGGATGTAAATAAGGTATGTGTCACTGTAACCAAGTCAGACATCTCAAGGAACAGATGCAGCTGGAGCACCAGCTTTAGCTCTACAATGGCACTCCTGGCCATCACCGAGACCTGAGCATCCAAGTTGAGGATTAAGTCCAGGAGCACACTTAAGCTGCGGACCCGACTTTTAAGGGGCAGTATAACCCTATCCAGGCAGTGGTCCCCAACCTTGGGCCTCCAGATGTTCCTGGACTTCAACTCCCAGAAATCCTGGCCAGCAGAGGTGGGGGTGAAGGGTTCTGGGAGTTGTAGTCCAAGCACATCTGGAGGCCCAAGGTTGAGGACCACTGCAGTACAGGATGAAACCTTATTCCCTGCTTTGCCTTTGGACTGACCGCCTCTGTCCTGTCTGGAGTAATTTTCAATCAGTTAGACACTGGTCTAAGTACAGAATGGCTTCCTTGGAATCAGTTGGGAAGGAGAGGGAGAGTTGGGTGTCATTTAGCATACTGGTGGCATCAAACCCCAAACCTTCTCAGCAGTTTCATGGAGATGTTGAATAATACGGAGGACAGGACTGAGACCTGAAGGACACCACACAGACATGCTTAGGGTTTCGAACAGGATTTCCCCAACATTACCTTCTGAATTTGGCCGACCAGGAAGGATCGGAACCACGGTAAAACAGTAACTCCAAGACCCATCCCAAAAGGATACCATAGTTGATGGCACCCAAAGCCACTGAAAGGTCCAGCAGAAGAGAGGAACACACTGTCCAGTTCCTGTGGTAGGTCATCCACCAAGGTGTCCAAAGTTGCCATAACCATGCAACGATATCACATGCACCAGAGCTTGATAGAAAGGAATACTATTTTGGACTACAACTCCCAGAAACCCCCCTAGCCAGCATGGCCAGAGGGAGCTGAAGACCAAAAAAAGCAACTTCTCAAGTTTGAGCATGTGGTATGTGATGTGAAAAAAGCAACTTCTCAAGTTTGAGCATGTGATGTGGCTGCTTCAGATCTAGTTCACTCCTGGCAACTACTGGAGGTTAAGGGACTGTGCATGCCCATCCTTGGGCTTCCAAGAACACCCAACACCGCCACCCACAAAGGTGTGAAATCATTTTTTATTCCCCAAGCTCCCTTGTACCCACTCAGGCACACAGGGGGTAATTTTGCTGGATCTGTAGCAGGCACTTCAGATTCTGCTCTAGATTCTAAACATATTTGTTATTTTAAGGAAGACAAACACACTGTACTAGAGTGAAATGTGCTACAGTACTTGAATCATGCTACTATGACACAATAAAATTCCACGTATTACTGGACAGCTGGAACTGGGGAGCGAACTACATGATGTATAAAATTCTATGATTTCCCCCTAATCATGAAATTATATAGGGCCATCAAGTACACCCCTCTGCTTGATGCAGGAATACAAATCAAAGGATATCTACCAGGTGATTATCTAAGTTTTTCTTGAATGCCTCCAGTGTTGGAACACTCACCACTTTCTTAAGGTATTTGGTTCCACTGTCTTACTGCTTTAACAATTAGGAAGCTTTTCCTGATATTCAACTGAAATCTGGCTTCCTTTAACTTGAGCCCATTGTTGCGTGTCCTGTACTTTGGGATGATTGAGAACAGATCTTGCCCTTCTTCTGTATGACAGCCTTTTAAGTAATTGAAAAGTATCTCCCCACAGTCTTCTTTTCTCAAGACTAAACATGGCCAATTCTTTCAGCCTTTCCTCATAAGGCTTGGTTTCCAGCCCCCTGATCATCCTTGTCGCTCTCCTATGAACTTGTTCCAATTTGTCAGCATCCTGCTTGAAGTGTGGTGTCCGGAATTGGACACAGTACTCAATATGAGGCCCTAATCTAAATAATTTCATATAAGGCACCATGCATGACTGTCTGGCTCATAAAATCACACTTTCCAACCTTGGCTTTTCTTTGCAATTCTCCATGGCTGGAAAGACCTAGCCATAGATTTTGGCTTCCATGCCAATCCAGTTCCACTCTTTTACTATTTAGCCCAAGAAAGAGTCCTACAGAGTATACATTTTGGAAGGTTGCATATTTTCTGCATTATTAATTAATTAAGTTGATTGATTGATTAATTTTCCACCTTTTCTTTAAAAAGGACCCAAGGTGGCTTATATGATAAAAAACATAATATTAAAAGCTGAAAACAGCAAATTATTCAAATATAAACAAGAATTAACACTATATTTTAAAATGTCGTATACAAACACTACGAGAAACGGATTTAGAAGCTACAAAACACCAGCCATCCCGTTTATTGTCCCATTTAGTGACAGTCAGCCACTAAGGAAAAGCCTGCCTGAAGAGAAATGCTAGTTGGAATCAAGCCTTTTAGAGCTTCATTGTTCAAACGAGGATTTTGAATTCTGCTCGGATCTGAGTCAGCAGGCAGTGGAGGGGTTATGTGATCCCTGTATCCATCTCCAGATAACAACTTGATTGCAGTGTTTTGGACCTGCTGAAGTTTCTGGACACTTTCCAAAGGCAGTTTCACATAGAATGCATTGCAGTAATCCAGATGGGATATAGTTGAAGCATGTGTCATGTGGCCAGGTCAGACCTCTCCAGGAATGGACGCAGCTGGTGCAGTAGTTTTTAATGATGCGAAGGCTTTTCTGAAATCCTGTGCTTGGAGGCTCAGAGGCAAATCCTATTGATCCTTCTAAAACTATGATTCCACTGTGGATTTTGTAGCTTGTTTGCTCATTGTGGAGAAGTTTGCACAGCTAGGGGAAAAAATGATGGTTTCGAGGTGTGTATTCACAAGGTTACATGTTTTGAAGCAGCACTGGTTCAAAAATCTAGACAGGATGCAGTCCAAACACAAGCTGAGACCTTTTAGTTGTTGCTTCCAAGGATTATGCCTCTGTCTTCAGGTGATGAGCTGGGCTCTGGAAAAGATTTTCCAGGATGGCACTTCTGGTGCAGAGCATTATTTGCCGAATGGAGGCAAAGTTCATCTCCCCTCTGGGTCAGAGTGCCCTCTTAGCTGGCAGAGAAAGCCCTCTTTCTCTCTCTAAATTAGGATGATCATAAAGAAGACCTCAATTATAAACTGTAAGCCTCTTTCTGCATTGGGGGTACCATGGGGGCTATTTACCTCCCTCCCTGTTCAATAAATGTCAGGAAAAGGGCCTTTTTGGAATACAGTCCCGAACTGGTATGATTGGTGGCATCACTAACTAGTGGATTCTCTGGTTTATAATTTTTTTAATCATTTCTGAAACTCTGGGGGGAATACAGCTATTGCCATGCCCTCCCCCACTATGTTTTTCCATGTGAGTCTGTTTTCAAGAAATTCTCTGAAATTGGCTCTTATCTCCCAATTCCTTTGTCTTTCAGTGGTTGTCTCAATCCTATTTCCTTCCTCTGGACTATTACAGTATCATCATTATTCGGGTAGCAAACTGGGTCAAGGCACAGCCTTCCACACGTCCTTCCTTCCTTCTTCTTTTTTAAACCAAGGGAACAAGCCAACTGTTAGCAATGCGGTCATTTCAGTGGTGAAGTGAAGCCAACTCTGTTTGCACAAACCCCTGTTCTTAATATATTTCATTGTGTGGGAATTGTGCCACATAGGCATATGATAAGGCACTGGGCATTTTTTTTAAAATTGGAGTGAGTCAAGGTTGTCTCCCTCTTCATTCCTGGTGCCTGTGAGGTATTGGAAGGACAGAATGAGAAGTTGGTGGCTTCTTCTTCTTCTGGGGTCTGCGTATTCGACCTTCTTCATGGTAGAAACGACCATCAGCCCAACGGAGAAGAAAGTGAAGGAAGCCAAATGGATTAAAGAGGAGGATAATGTCCTGGTGTTACAAAAGGGCAATTTTGATCAGGCCTTGAATGAAACAAAGTACCTGCTGGTGGAGTTCTGTGAGTATTCTAAAAGATGGGATCCACTAAGATTGACCAAGGGCCATTAGCAAATATTGACAACTGGATTTGGCAGATGGCTACGAATCAACTGTAAACTTAAGCTTTTTACTAAAGCAGTGGTTCCCAGACTTGGGACCCCAGATGTTCTTGGACTAAAACTCAGTAGCTGTTCCGGGAGTTGTAGTCCAAGAACATCTGGAGAACCATGGTTGGGAACCACTGGACTAAAGCATCTTTGTTGTTATCAAGTTAGAATCAATTTATAGTGACAGGGGTTTCAATACAAGTGGGGTATTTAAGGAGTGTTTTTTTCCATTCTAGAATCCCAATGAGCATCCATGGATGAGCAGGGATTCAAACTCGGGCCCCCTGTGTTCTACTTTGCTACTTTAGCAACTACATCACACTAGATATTCAACAATAATTGTGTTCTGTCAAGTCAACTTTGACTTATGTTGATCCTTTTCAGGGTTTTCCTGGTAGAGGATACTCAGAGGTGGTCTACCATTCCCTTCTTCTGGGGGCATCCTGGGATTGTGCAGCTTGCTCAAGGCTATGCAGGCTGGCTCTTCCAGGATGCACAGTGGGAATTTGAACTCCCAACATCTGACTCTGCAGAAGCTGATACTTAATTCACTGTGCTATCCAGCCAACCAAAATCTTAATGCCTCCAGGAGTGCTCCTTCATCCATGAAAGATGGCTAAGGCGGGTGAGAACTTCTGTCCAACAACATCTGGAGTGCCAAAAATGGCCCATTGCTACTCCAAGGTTGTGCATTTCTGTGTCCGGTTATAGTAGCTACCATGTTAAGTCTTTCATAATGCTCTAGACCTACTCTTCTTCCAGGTTATTGACTGGGGAAAGAGGTAGTGTAAGAAATGGCAGCCACCGCAAAATATGGTGCACAGTACACTGAGTAGATCTTGAAGATCTTTAAGCTCATAGATGGTACTTCCCCCGAGGCATGTCACAACTACCTCACCAGGTTCATAGGCTTGAAGGTCAATTTGTCACCTCATGGTCCATGGGTTTGTCACCTGATGACCTATGAGTAAGAAGCTTCTTCATACCAAGCTAGGGTGGGGCTTGAGCCACCTCTGGGACCCTACTCAAAGGCAGCTTGATAAAATCTGCCAGAGCTTGTGCTACACCAGGGTAAACACCTCCAAGAGCCATGGTCACCTCTGTGCCACAATGATGGGGCAGATTCACCCTTTGTAGATGTCCTAGTGAGCAAACGGATGCAGAGGAACTTCTTGAGCTCGACTGTGTCGCAAAGTATGTCTGGATTATTGCACAGAACAAAATAACTGCTAGTATTTCATTTTTGTAATATTCACCTTACTTCATTTTCAATAACTATAAATAAATAAACCAGATAGATAAGTAGACAGGCAGGCAGGCAGCTGGCTAATAAAAATGTGCTGCTTTTAAGGGACTCCTTCCCCACCCCCCAAGCAGCTGAAGTATCTAAAGGCTACTCAGTCTCAGTCCATCATCTTCAGACATAACAACTGCTAAGTCTTGCCTCTTCAGAATCAATCAACAAAATCCAAGCCTCATTTATATTTCAGGCCAAAAACTGTAAGAGGCGCAATTCTGCATTAGTGTACATGCGCAGTTCTCCGTTTTCTCTGCCTCTCCTGATTATGCGCGTTTACCCTATTTGTAGCTCTCAGGTTTAGGTATTTGTTAAGTAAGATGGGAGCAGGAGAGCATTGGATCTGTAGCTAAATGTGGTTGCTTATTAACTTCTCACAAAGTAAAAAGCAAATAACTTAATGTAAATCATTAATGTATTTACTGATAGTGCTACAAAAATAGAATGATCTTGTAGGCATTGAGTAGTTACCCAATAGAATAACATCTACAGCAGGAGTTCCCAATCTGGGGTACATATACCCCCAGGGGTACAAACTAGGACATTTAGGGGTATGTGAAAAAATCGCATAATAATGGGAAACGGCCTAGGGAACGGGAGGGAGGTGGAACGGAGGTCTGCATTATGGATGGGCATTTGGACAAAACTTATGTGAGAGCTTCTGGACAAGCATCCACGACCCTCCACAGTCCTCAATGGTTGGGTCCATTCCATCTCCTCTCAACTTTATTGCCCTCATCAATTGGCTGCTGTTTGATTGGTGAGAGGCAGGTTCGGGCGACACTATGTGAGGGGTCGGGTTAAGCTGCCTTTCCAGTCTGTGACTATGTGTCAGAACTGCAGCTGCCCTGTCAGCCTTTAGCATAGGGCAGTGGTTCCCAACCTTGAGTCAACCAGATGTTCTTGGACTGCAATTCCCAGAAGCCTTCACCACCAGTGGCACTGGCGGGGGGTTCTGGGAGTTGCAGTCCAGGAGCATCTGGGCCACCCACGATTGGGAACCACTGGCTTTGGGAGAAGCTGGTGAGTCTTGCATCAAGATTCTTGGAGGGGCTGAAGAAAGCAGAACACCAGGTGGGCTTGGAAGTGCTTTGGGATCGGAGGTGGAGGAACCTGTTACCATTACACTGAGGTGGCTGTTTCTGTGGGTTCCAGCCCTGCTTTATTCTCTTCAGTGCCAAGGCCTCGGATGGGGAGAGGGAAGCAAGCCATGTCACACAATCCATCCTCGCCTTCAATTCCCAGTCCGGCTAAAAGGATAGGGCTGTGTGTGGTTTAGACCCTCCTCACCAAGGGGTGGGAGCTGCTTGGTGCATATTTTGGGTCTTCTGATTGCCCTCGAGAGGGGGTTGGTGCTCCAACACTGGAGGTCTTCAAGAGAAAGACAACCCCCTGGCTGATCTCCTTTGATTTGGATTCCTGCCTCGAGCTGAGGGTTGGACTGGATGGCCTTTTAGGGCCCTTCCATCTTCATGATGCTATGATTCTATGACTTTACTATCTTAAAGTAAAATTGACCTAACCACTCAAACCCATAAAGGAAGTCATGCCTTCATCATGAACGTGCCTATCTATATGCATGCGCACGCACACGAGGTTCTAGTGGTGTAAAAATTATAATAACTAAACCAAAAAGAAGAAAAAGAAATAAAAAATGAGAACACAAGTTGTCAGGCAACGTAAGTCCATCACCTCATATTGCAGCTAAGCCACATGTGGCGGAGAGCAGCTGCAAGGGAGTATATACAGCCTGGAGCCCTCACTCATAGGTCCTTCCTGATGTCCAGGCAATTGGACGATTTGAAGTGTATATCAAACAGTCTTCCTCTCCTTTCGTGCTTTCTCAGCATCTCCCGTTTTGGGATATTAATGCTTTTTCTTTCCCTCTTTCTATTTTTAATCATGTCTTTTTTCATTTTAACATTTTAAACCCACGAATGCTGGAGTTTACATGAAGGCTCCGGGGGCGGGGGGGGGTTGCTTCTCTGTCCCATGAGTACTTCTGAGCTATTTGCTCCACACAGTGGTCAACACAGGAATACCTAAATTATCCATCCATTTACAGTGGTGCCTCGCTAGACAGTTACCCTGCATGACAGTTTTTTTGCTAGACATTGGCTTTTTGCGATCGCTATAGCGATTCGCAAAACAGTGATTCCTATGGGAGAATTTCGCTGGACAGTGTTTGGTCCCTGCTTCACAAACTGATTTTCGCTAGGCGGTGATTTTGACAACTCCCTTGGCACTCGCAAAACAGGTGTTTTTGGGACCTAAGCTTCGCAACACAGAGATTTAAACAGCTGATTGGCAGTTTGCAAAGCGGCTTTCCTATGGCCAATCTTCACTAGACAATGACGATTCTTCCCCATTGGAATGGATTAAATAGGTTTCAATGTATTCCAGTGCTTTTCGCTAGACAATGATTTCGCTAAACAGCTATTTCAGTGGAATGGATTATCATCATCTAGCGAGGCACCACTGTATACCTAAATGTTTCAGCGTTCAAAGACCATACACAGCTCTAGTTTCCACAGCCTGAGATCTACTAATAGGTTGCCACACTAATTGATAGACTTTGTAGAGCTTGAAATACGTCATTACAATATCAAGATACATGCAGCAAATTTATCAGTTACTGTGTGGAAATTTCCAGCCACCTGGTACCAAGGACAAAGCATTAAACCACACTCCCAAAGCCTAGCTGTGACTAGCTTTAAGCCCATCTTAAGAAGATGCCTGGCAAACTTTGGCCATGCATTTTTGGGACATTCATTCATATTTTTCCTGCATTGTACACAAATCTGCTGGCGCAGACTTGAAGAAGTGATATTTTAATTCCTGAAAGCTTGCATGAATTGTAGAAAATTCTGTTTGACATTCTGAACAAGGTTGTGCTTGGTAGCTAGCAGTGTCTGATGTGTTGAAAAAAGGAGCAGAGATATGGCAAGTCAATACAGTAATGTGCCTTTTCTAGATAGCAGGGAAAGAGAGAGAGAAACACATTGATCTTTTGAAGGGAAAGGCTGGGGGAGGGTCAGCACTAACCAGAAAACCCTTTGAAATGTTTTCTTACTCTCTTATGAAACAGGAAAAAAATGTGTCATTTTTTGTGTAAGGAAATCTGGAGAGGCTTCCAGTTTCCAATGAAATTTTTGATGGGCCTGGACTCCCTCTCGGGATTTCTTCCCAAAATTTGGAAATATTCATTTTTAAGATCCCGTGGCTGCTGGTTATGATGACAGGTTCCTTCTTAGACCTTTAACCCGAAAGGGAACTTTCTCATGTTGTGTTTCCAATCCTGTGTTTGCAACAGGATTAGTAGAGCTTGCTAGAGACTGACTGGAGAGTGGTTGGGATTAACTGGACCCCCCTCAAGAAAAGCTGTGGCCAGGAAGAGGCAGCCCATCTTTCCCAAAACAGTGATAACTGGAATAAGGGAAGTTTTCCTAAGCTCTCCATAACGTACAAACACACACCATACCCCATACACACATATGACAAAAGCATAGTCCTCTGTTGTAGTTCATCAGAGTTGAAAGCATACTAATTTTTAATCTCTTTATTGCTATCGTTATAACGTACAAACACACACCATACCCCATACGCACATATGAC